GTCCTCACCAACAGGTCTGTTCCCACCAACAGGTCTGTCCTCACCAACAGGTCTGTCCTCACTAACAGGTCCGTCCCCACCAACAGGTCTGTCCTCACCAACAGGTCTGTTCCCACCAACAGGTCTGTCCTCACCAACAGGTCCATCCTCACCAACAGGTCCATCCTCACTAACAGGTCCGTCCTCACTAACAGGTCTGTCCTCACCACGTTAGACAGCAGCTCTGTGATCCGTCCTAACTCGGCTCCTCCGTCCTGTGGTGGAGCCGTGGTCTGCAGCAGCCTCTCCTCACACAGCAGGACGTGTCTGTTCAGGTCCAGTCTGCTCAGCAGGGGGCTGATGCAGTACAGGCAGTGGTAGTGAGGCCGTGTGATGCAGTCCAGGCTACATTTATGGATGGTGTATTCTGAAACAGCACACAGTTAAAGACTGAGAAGAATTCATCCTCATTCTGCTCAAACACACAGAAAACCTGATTACCTCCAACAAAACAAGCTCTCCTGATGTGGATTTCCAGATGGAGCCTGACTCTGGAGCGTTTTGTGGGTTTAAAGAAGCCCGGTAAACAGAAGGGGCAGTGGTACAGCCCCGGGGGGCAACATGTGGTGCACTGCCTCAGAGGAGGAAAGGTCAGGCCTCTCCGGATGGTCACATGACTCTGAAAATAAAAAACAGGTACTATTTCTTAATAAAAACAGAAAACCATATTAGARTTGGAGTAACTGAACACGTTACGGAGCAGTTTGAATATTTATTTTAAACTGTGAGTTCACTAAACATCTTCTAATGTTAACATCAAACTGTAGATCTGTGGAAATGTTTCTGTTGTTCTTTAAAACAAACTGATTTTACAAAATAAATATAAAAAACTGAGCCGGTTTAACACTTTGCACAGTATTTTACCTTTATATATAATAAATACCTTTATATATAATAAATCTAAAAATCACTGCTCTGTTTGAGCATGTTTATTTTTTAAACTTAATTCTCATCTTTAGAAGAAACAACTAAAACAACCGTTTTTATCCTCTTCTATCTTTGTTTCCAGACTTTCTAAACCTGCTGCACCAGGTCTTGTAAAGAGACTGACTTATTCTTACTGTTAAAATTGTTTATATTTAATATAAATCTGTAGTTTTTTCTGATCCAGCTGTGCTTCTTATAAACATCATGTGTTTACAGACAGAAACCTGACCTAACATGTAGCTATGRTTAATATCAGGATAGAATGAGGAGCTAACAACATGCAAACAACACAGATTAGCATTAGGCTTCTGTTGTGCTAACAACATAACGTGCTCTAATAATAAAATCAGCTTCGCTGAATTATTTTTCTACAAAAACACAGATGATAACATAAAAATCACAAACGCGTCTTATCGATAAAAAACTAATAATATTTCTGAACCGTGAATGTTTTTTCTTACTTTAGTCGGCTCCAAACTGTTCATCTTCAACACAGAAGTTTTCTTCTTCTTTTATCTGGAGCTTCTTTTTTCTGCTGTTAGCGCCCCCACTGGTTCCAGCCCGCAACTACAGCTGGATTCATTTTATACACAAACTGTGTAGTCATCCGGGACAGGACGAACAAAACAAAATAAAAT